AACCAATTCTTCGAAATATACACCTATTCGATATAAAGTTGAGACTTGGGGACTGTGGTACACTACAATTCCATTATGGATAACATTTATTTTGATAAAGTCACAGCGTTATAGAGTAATACTGGCTAGATTTCCAATAGTTAGCAACCAATACCTCTTTTTCGTTTTAGCTAGCATGATGCAAAGATGCAAAACAGATGAAATACTATACACACAAATTATTTAAAATTCAAGAAGTTATATCACTCACCTAACAAATTTTCAGTTTGATTATAAAATTCCGACACATGTAGGTCTCTTCGAATTCCAATAGGATTTGACATGTTCATGATTCTGTTATGTTCCGGATAAAGTGAAGGCTTTGTATGATATGAAATTGATTTCCAGTTTTAAATAAATCTATAACAATATAATATCTGTATGTCTTGATATGATTTCAAGTAGCAAAATGAGTATGTCCTAAACCAGGGCGAATAGTAAATTCACTAACGAAGATTTTAAATAGACAGACGTGTGACATTAACTGGCCTTATTCATGTATTATTTTGATGTTTTAATTTGTTAACACAAATCATATCATAAGACGTCCAATCACGGCTCATCTCATTTCGTTTCATGCTATTGGCTAAAATACGATAGTCTCATATAGTAGTCTTACTTTACTCAACTCCATTTTGTCTGTGTGCATTTCATATTGAGTCATTTGCATTTAATTAAAAAAAAGAAAACAATCAATCAATACTTATATATACTTCGTCATAATGAGTAAATGTGATGTGTGTTCAAAAAAATAGACTGAATTATTGTCTTGATTGTCTTATAATAGATGAGATGTATTCAAGTGCATAAGGTTAGGCAGATATCATTCATACTCATACGAATAGACCTCACTTTTCGTTAAGGTCAAGGTATTGAAATTTTAAAATGGGAAAGCATAATATCAAAACAGAACCAGACGTCAATATAATGGTGAGAATAACACTATAGAGATTAGTGAAGGTTTTAAGGATTTGGAATACTAGCAGGAAATTTGAACGAAGCTGTGTACACCACCATTGAGAACGACTTACAAGACATTACAGAGAAGAGCACTTTTGAAACAAAAATTAATTACATAAAGTTATTATAATTATTATTCATCTTTTCAACTATATATTCTATATTTCAACTTCCTAGAGCATACATTATCGATGATTCATCAGGAAGTATCAATTAAAGGGAGAGAGATCAAAGGTCACCAAGTTATTAATGATACTAATGAGAATACAAATGAATGCAAACATCAGGTTGCGTATCATCTCTACATTCATTTATTTATTTGTTTTGTAGGGATTCCTTCTGTCAGAAAATTATCTGCTTTTCATATTACTGGATCCAACTAGTTCTGAATTCTTAAAGAATGTATATTGACAAATTAACTGTAAATAGTAGAAATGAATAAAATCTAAAACTCCTCAACAGTACGCACCCACCGGGACTCGAAACAAGGACATTCTACTTAGTCCCAAGGTAGGACGAAACAACTGTCCACTAGTCCCTGCCGGTTTTCCAATGGTTCTCCAACCAATGTCAGCTCAGGATGAAATCCTGTAACGCCCTCTGGTTTTTTTTTCTCAACTCGAGACGAGTTTTGTGTGTGTGACAGAATCTACATTCTGTATGTATTGTGCAATACGACTAGAATAACTTTGGAAGGCAGTCGATAAAGTGAGTTTAAAATTGATAATGATCAAAGTGTGTATAATACTGAAGATGATGAAATGTGTTGACTTGTATATCAGAAAAATTGAATAATTAAATGCAAACAGGAGGCGAAGTTACTTCTGCATAATTCATATTGCATGCGTACTTTCTATTGATGAATACAGTTCTAAAGTGTTTACTTATAAGTGAGAACAGAGAAAGGAAATGTTATAGGCAAGATAAGCAGAGATAGAGAAAGAGACATGTTACCTGAAACTGATGTGTGCATCGATATCTTGTCTCTTGGTTTGCTACACTAAAACTTTGATTGGTCTATTTTCTACATAGTGTGGTGGTGTGGTGCAGAGAATGTATTCCAACGGAATATTATTCTCACATACTCCCACAGTTCAGTTCACTACGGGATTAGCAACAGAATACTGTGTATATTTGAAGATTCTATTTGTTTCCAGGGGAAGAATACTTTCCCTATAGTTCAATATAGGCATTAGCAACAGAACGCTCTATATATTTATTTGGAAATTCTATTTCATGTCGTTTAATGTAAACCAAAACCACACACTGAGTGATTAGTTAAAGGATATAAAAGTGGGTTTATATATAAATGCCTGTTTGATCACTTGAAAATATACCTTAGCTTCTGTGTCTTGCCTTCTGCTGTTAGAATAGCACTTGCATATATCATGTCTTCATTTTGCTTCACTAGAGTGTCTCTTTCTCTGGTTTTACCTTATATAAAAGTAACATTATCAATGTTATAGGCGATAAAATCACAATAATAGAATAATGGAGTAAAATCTTTTTCTCAAGAATTCCATTGAACTGAACATGTCTTATAAATTGACAGACAGTTCTGTGTTCAGTTTCTCACTAATTTGTGCACAGATATTAACATTTATCTAATGTTTTATGAAGAGCAAGAGCGTACTACTGAAACAAAAAAGGACACAAGCAGTGTAAAATTAAATAGACATAGATAGAACACCAAGATTGGTGCAGATTAATAGATTGGTCGATATTTTAGGTCTCATTGTCAACATTCAGGGCACATGTGGTGATTGACAATTTCTATCTCTGTATTGTTTAAATACTGACTGTTGCTTGTTAATATATTTCTTATATGAATTGATAATTAGAATTCCGCCAAATACAAATTCCAAAATTCCTGCCTCTCTGTGTCTTTGTTGAATTTTTGTATTTTGGTCATCTCGAAATACTAATACTATGATTACTAATAATTACAACGTTTTGGCGTGGCGATGTTACTAAAGAACCTTGGAAAGTTTCCTATAAACGGTTCACCGCAGGAAATTGCTGATTATCGTGAATGCTTCGACGCATGGTGCATGTCAAGCAATGTTCGGGATGACAAAAATTCCAGCTCATATCATTACTGCTATTGGGCTAGATGCGTATGGCCTAGTGAAGACTCTGTTATTTCCAGATAAACCCATTTCTCTGCCATATTTTTTTAAATTTTTTTTTTAATTTTTGATTACAGCTTGACTCCACACTGTATTTTTGGTACAAGTATGGAATTTTCAGCGTGGATATCGGTAGCCCAAATTTTGCAGGCCGACCATAGATATCAGGAGTGCGTCGGCGAGGGCTCGAACCCCGGACCATGTGCATGGTCGGCGAGAATCCTAACCACTGTGCCACCGACGCACACAAGCTCCGTGAACTTCTGATACGTCACTTTCATATAACTACTTTTGAGACCAGAGAGGGGGCTCAGTTCAACAAACTGGTTCGTGCTCCCAACCAGAAGATTAGAGACTTCATTCTTCAACTTCAAATACAAGCTTCAAAGTGCAACTTTGGAGATCAACTGCATACTCAACTACGTGATCGTCTAATTTCTGGGATCAATATTCCTAAGTTAGAGAAAGAATTAATTCAGATTCCTTCCTGTACCTTTCAAACTGCTAAAGATTTATGTATTACATATGAAGATGTCAACAGTGAATACTCTGCTCCCACTACGTCAGTATCTGATGTCATGCTGTCCAAAGTCGAAAATACAAGTGTTCATGGAAAGCAATCCAAACTGTCGTCCACATGTAATAAATAAAATGCAGCGAGAGATCAAAAACATTAGACCGTGTTTTTCATGTGGAAAGATTCATCTACCAAGCACTTGCCATTTTCGTGGGGGTAAGTGTCATAAATGTGGTAAAGTTGGACACATCAAGTCTGTTTGCAGAAGTTCGAATAGTTATGTCACTCAGAATTCTTATAATTCTCCCAATCTGTCTAGTAAAATGGAGTCAATGTGTCTTTTAACTTTTCAAAATACTCAATCTCATCCAATGAAAACCTTCACTACAAGTTCAGCAACTCAAGCGTCAACTGTGTCACGTGTTTTCGAAAATGAGGTAGCCGAGTTACAATGCGAACTGTCGAAAACACGAAAAAAGTGAGTGAAATGGAAGCTGGCTGGTTGTCCATTCGTCAACAGCTGACTGAGATGAGAGAGCAACTGATTAAAATGGAGGAATTGCTGCATATGCATAGATTGCGTCTGTTGAATGCCGAACATACAAGTACCCATGAAAGTCCTGCAAAACTTTTCAAATCTCGAATTCTCAGAAAGCATCTGATGTACACGACTTCTAATGTACATTATTACAGAGGGAATGACTATAGACCTTCTGCTGGAATCATACTACAAAAAATGGGAAATCGAGTGGTGAAGATATTAGACATCAAAGATCACTCAGTTCATAACAGACACCTGGACAAAGTGACAATAAATGAAGTAGGTCGTTTCGATTATAATTTTAATGATTCCGCTACTAATATTGATTTTGTAGATAATTCAGAAATAAGTCCAGATGATACTGATGAAAATTATATCACAGAATCGGTTAGAAGGTCGCAGCTACTTGCAAGCAAACCCAGACATCATTATAAATACGCGAGGAGATATTCGACGTGTGGCGGATGTGGTGATTGACAATTTCCATCTCTGAATTGTTTAAATACTGACTGATGCTTGTTAATATATTTCTCATATGAATTGATAATTAGAATTCCGCCAAATACAAATCCCTAAATTCATCCCTCTCTGTGTCTTGGTTGAATTCTTGTAATTCGGTCACCTTGAAATACTAATACTACTGTTTGAAAAACTTACAACAGCACCGTATAGGCTTTCCTAATGTTGTAATGCACGTGATTGGTCTTATAGTTCAATTGGCACATGATACACAAAAGTAATAGTTAGTTACCTGTAGTAAGTGCAGAACAAATGTCCTTCAAGTAAGGGCAATTAGATACAGAGCAGTGCTAACATGTGGAACAAGTTGTCTGATGACTTACATTCACAGGTATGTTATTTGATATAATTAAAAAACGTACACATGCCCTTCACATAGTTATTATCAAACAGCTACCTATATATAAACACACTTTTATATCCTTTAACTAATCACTCAGTGTGTGGTTTTGGTTTACATTAAACGACATGAAATAGAATTTCCAAATAAATATATAGAGCGTTCTGTTGCTAATGCCTATATTGAACTATAGGGAAAGTATTCTTCCCCTGGAAACAAATAGAATCTTCAAATATACACAGTATTCTGTTGCTAATCCCGTAGTGAACTGAACTGTGGGAGTATGTGAGAATAATATTCCGTTGGAATACATTCTCTGCACCACACCACCACACTATGTAGAAAATAGACCAATCAAAGTTGTAGTGTAGCAAACCAAGAGACAAGATATCGATGCACACATCAGTTTCAGGTAACATGTCTCTTTCTCTATCTCTGCTTATCTTGCCTATAACATTTCCTTTCTCTGTTCTCACTTATAAGTAAACACTTTAGAACTGTATTCATCAATAGAAAGTACGCATGCAATATGAATTATGCAGAAGTAACTTCGCCTCCTGTTTGCATTTAATTATTCAATTTTTCTGATATACAAGTCAACACATTTCATCATCTTCAGTATTATACACACTTTGATCATTATCAATTTTAAACTCACTTTATCGACTGCCTTCCAAAGTTATTCTAGTCGTATTGCACAATACATACAGAATGTAGATTCTGTCACACACACAAAACTCGTCTCGAGTTGAGAAAAAAAAACCAGAGGGCGTTACAGGATTTCATCCTGAGCTGAAATTGGTTGGAGAACCATTGGAAAACCGGCAGGGACTAGTGGACAGTTGTTTCGTCCTACCTTGGGACTAAGTAGAATGTCCTTGTTTCGAGTCCCGGTGGGTGCGTACTGTTGAGGAGTTTTAGATTTTATTCATTTCTACTATTTACAGTTAATTTGTCAATATACATTCTTTAAGAATTCAGAACTAGTTGGATCCAGTAATATGAAAAGCAGATATGTACTTTGTGTATTTGAAAAAAGAAGTGATATTTTATGACAACAAATCAGGAGACGTGTTAATAATATATATATATATATATATATATATATCAACATTGATACTTTGATTGTCTTCCCGATTGTTATTTACGGTGTTAAGTCACACCGTACATACACACATAGATTGTAATCTCAAAGTTTTGAGTTTTAAGGGGAAACAGTGACATATTTCCACCCGGACCTGTTTGATTTGCTTTTGTTTTGTTGAACTGTATATTTAAGGTTAATGAAAAGCTTTTGTCCAAGTTACCTGTGATTGAAACTCTTCGGAGAAAAACATACTCAATGAATATAAATACCCAGAAGGATTTATTTATTTATTCACTAATCTGTAATTCGATGGAAGTGAATGAATTCACTCCACTAGAAAGAATAATTATTAGGCGTGAGTGAAGATGTGACATTAGTCAGAGAACCACTGAACCACTGAAATACAAGAAGTACTAGATAGCTATTTTCCATCACTGTAGCTCGAGACTCCTCTTCAGAAGTACTCACAAGTGACCACATCACAGAAATAACTCACTACCTTCGTGAGTAGTCATCCAGCTCTGTTCCACTGGTTAAATCTTAACGTATTCGCCTTGTGTGTTGGCTCATGACGTGATCCATTTGAAATCAGTCGAAGCTTCACCAAGCTAAGATTAAAACATTATTTGGTAGTGTTTTTCTTTGAAAATAAATACAAACTAATTTTCAACTAATTTTAATTCATGTTCGAGTTCATCATCATGTGACTAATTTTAATAGATAGTTAAAACTATTGAGACATTCATTTATAAACTGGATACTGTTGAAGGAAACTTCCGTTGGAATCAATGAGTGGGTAAAATATTTCTACTCGAGTCTATTCATTTGTCAAGTGAACCCTGAATACTTGAGAAGCGCTTCTGAAATGCAGTAAGAATTTCATACAAAAATGATTCACCGAAATCACATATAAACAAATATTCCTTCTTCAAATGAAATCCTCCTTCCAATGTCTGACTAGTGGGAAAAGAATATTCCTTTTTTTATAACCTATCCATCACGTCTCAGGGGTTGGTTATATATCCCAATTAGTTAAGGAATACCCGTCGTTGACAACATCAGTGTGTTTGGTTTTTTTTTAACTAATATCAAATGACTGAGGTGAGTAGATTAGAGTTAGAACATGTGAAAGTGATAATAGGCATAAATATAGTACTAGGAAATAAAAGCATCCCCTGTGGAAGGGTAGTAATAAATGACGGGTGTGAGGAACTGATTGATTTATGACGGTAGGTTACACCTGAAAAGTGTGACGTGATGTGTTGTTCACGAACCGATGGAGAGTGGAGCGAACCTGGGTAAGATTACTCGCTGTGCTTGACTCCCCTTTGTGAATGAAGTCTCGGCTATTATAGGCGAAGAAGAGGTTATAGAAAAGAATCTTTTTTCTCTGCAATCAGTAATTTGAAAATTTTATCGTGCACATTTCGATATCCACTACTACTACTACTACTACTACTACTACTACTACTACTACTACTTCGTTTGAAGACGTTTAGCTTCAGAGCGTTCTCATTCCACTTCTGACTTTTCATGAACTCAAATAGTAAGTACATGTCTTAGTTATGCAGTGAGTGTAGAGATAAATGTTGGATTCGTGAGTCTACAAACCAATCATTTGTCATTTGTTAACTTTCAACATTGATTTCAATTCACTCATTATTGGAGTTCTTCAAATCTTTTGACTCTTGAATCATATCATTCCTAATATTATTTTACAGACTGTTGCACTAAGAACAACAGAGAGAAATATTAGTTCAATGTATATTGTGTGTCGAAGAATACGAGATTTATTATTAGACAATGGTAAGTTGAATCCCTATGGTTATAACTATTATTTATATATTCGCACGCCTTATCATCACTAGGCCTTCCAATCGTTATTAGGCTTGAAATGATTCCTGGATGCTTAGCATCATGTTGGAGATTCCAGGATGAGAAGAAAGCGAATACCTCAGGATTGAAGATTTGTGTGACACTTCCGGAGAATCGCGAGATCGGAGTAATCACGTTTGTCAATAATAAGACCAGGTGAAGATAGTGAAAATGAACCATTATTATGGATATTATTGATAAATGTCAATCCGAATGATGGCTAGGAGCTCGTGAATCCCAGCTAATTAAAAGTTATTAATTATGGGTCTTCACAGACTTTTGAATGAATTCTGATGAGAGTTGATCCAGAAGTAATGTTTTTGTTGTTTATTTAACAATAATAATAATAATAATGATAATAATTTTTTGCTTTATTCCAAAAACAGTACTAATGATACAGCAAGGAATTTTCAGCAGTCAGTACAATATTGCATCTAATTTACTCAAAAACGACAAAAAAATTAATAATACACATTACATAATGATAGTAATAATAAGACGATTGTTATAGCAGCTACAGAGCAAAGTACTGTATGCAATACGGAGAAAAATATACATAAAGTATGAAATTGTAGTAATAATAGTAATACAAACTAAAATAAAATAGTAGAGTTATAATTAAACGATAGAAAGTGTGATACCATAAAATACAGAAAGATGAACAATGAAAGGGGCGGTACAATGTGCTAATTACATAGTAGTTTATGTGTTTCACGTCTAACAGAGTCGTCGTCACATAAAGTACGGGCTAAATAGGGTATTGTAGAATTTCTGTACTTAGTGGTACGAGCATATAACTTTTTACATTGACTTCTCGTCCTACCTGATGAGACACAAGAGGGTTATTTATTTATTATTATTGTATCCTTTAGTTCCTAGAGGAACATAGGGCTTCAGCTGCGCACCTCCATTGACTTCGGTTTTCTGACATCTTTTTCACCCTGCTCGAGGTCTGTCCACATGCTTTCATCTCCTCCTCGCATGACCTCCTCCAAGTCACCCTTGGACGACCAACTCGCCGCCCGCTTCCCTTTCGGGTTCCACTCGAGGGCTTGTCTAGTGATGTCACTTGATGGTTTCCTCAGCGTATGGCCAATCCATCTCCATTTCTTTCTGCCTATTTGTTTCACAATCGGTTCCTGGTTGGTTCGCTCCCAGAGATCCCTGTTGCTGATCTTTTCTGGCCATCTGATTTGAGTATTGAGCGGAGACAGTTGTTAATGAAGGTTTGAAGTTTGTTTGAGATGCTCTTTATGACTCGCCAAGTCTCTGATTCGTATAGTAGCACTGACTTCCCATTGGAGTTGAAAATCCAGATCTTATTTTTGATGCTGATTGCTGTTGACCTCCACACAGATTTGAGAGTAATGAAAGCTTGTCTTGCTTTTCCGATTCTGGCTTTGATGTCCTCGTCAGTTCCGCCTGTAGTTGAGACGATGCTTCCCAGGTAGGTGAAGGAGGTTGTTTCTTTCAGGTTCTTCCCATTTATGCTTATTGTGGTCTGTTGGTGTTGTTGATGTTGGCTAGGAATCTTCATCATCTCTGTTTCATCTATGTTCACGTGAAGTCCTATCTTTGATGCTTCTTCTGTCAACTTGTTGCTTTTCACTTGCATATCTTCCAGTTTGTGGGAAATCAGACATATATCATCATCGGCGAAGTGCAGATCCTCCAAGTCCCCTTTTTGTGTGAGTCCATTTTATGCCTGTTCCTTCGTTGGTCGCCGTTGTCTGTCGCATTATCCAATCAATTGCAATCAGGAAGATCATTGGTGATAGTAGGCAGCCAGCTTGCCTCACTCCCGTCCTCACTTCGAAGGCTTCCGTAAGTTTCCCGTTGTGGATTACTTGGAATGCAGCATTGTCGTATAACTGTTGGATGAGATGTATAATTGTCTAAAGGACCCCGTAGTAGCGAAGTAGTTGCCAAATGACCTCTCGATCGACGCTGTCGAAGGCCTTTTCAAAGTCGATGAAGTTGAGATAGAGAGGTGACTGCCATTCCAAGCTTTGTTCAATGATGATCCGTAGAGTGGCGATTTGATCAATACATGATTTGTTTCTCCTGAATCCAGCCTGTTCCGGACGAAGTTTTTCATCTAGGGCTTGTTTGATTCTCTCAGGATGATGCGACTTAGTATCTTGCTTGGAATGGACAGAAGCATAATTCCACGCCAGTTTTTACATTGACTTAAGTCTCCTTTCTTTGGAAGTTTGAATAAGTAACTGTTCTTCCAATCCTCGGGTACTTTGCCCTCTTTCCACACCTTCTCCAGCAGTGGCGTCATCAAGTCCGCTGTTGTCTCTGGGTCTATTTTCAAAGCTTCTGCTGGGATTCCATCTGGTCCCGGTGTTTTCCCAGCTTTAAGCATCTTGATTGCATTCAGGACTTCTGATTTCGTCGGGGGGTCAGTGTTGTTGTGAATAAAGGGGGTGCGGAGTGTCTGACAGTATAGCCTTTGCCCATTTCGTACAGGAATTTACATGCCTCGCGACTATAGTATTGGCGAGCTCACGCAGTGGCAGACCACAAGCCCTACTCACTGCATTTAATACTCTTCATAATATGATACAGTCTTTTTCGAGAAGCCCAGGAAAGACTAATGGAGAGAGATGGAGCACAATAGGTAAAATACAGGAGTTTAAAAATTGCAAAACTAAAGGTTGGTTGATACCTGATTGTCTTAACATTTTTTTAATGTAGAAGGTTGTAGACGAAACATTTTCTTAGAAATAGATAAGATGTGGGATGGCCATGAGAGGTCAGAGGAAAGAACTAATCCAAGGTATTTAATGCTTGACTTGGTTTCAATTTCAGTGCCATCTATGCTGCAGGCATGATGGGAACTAACTAGTTCATGTAAGTCACGTCGTTGCTTGAAAGTAAAGTTAACTGCCTGACATTTGGAGGGATTTAACATAGGACCATTTGACTTAGACCACTTGTTGATGTCCAACAGAAAGCTATTAAGTTTGGAGCTGTCAGACTCGGAAGTGATAGGCAGTGATACAGTCAGATTGTCTGGATATTTGACAAAGTAAGTTTCGTTTGAATGAGGCAGGTCGTGTAGGAAGAAAGAGAAAAGAAAAGGAGAGAGAATAGCACATTGAGGAACACCGGATTTTGTAAGCGAGGTAGAAGAAGATTTCCCATTATATACAGTATACTGCATTCTATCAGAAAAATAAGAATGCAACCGACTCTTAGCCCAGGATCCTGTTTGTGTCAACGATAGCTTATTTAGTAAAACGCCCCTAGGTACAGAGTCAAAAGTAGATGTGTAGTCTAAGAAAGCACTACGAACATATTTGGCACCTTTGTCTAAACAAGAAACAACATTGTGGTATAAGACAACCGCAGAATCCAACATACTTCTACCATGTTTGTATGCGAATTGTCTAGGATCATTAAAAGGTTTCAATGAAGGTTCAAGACGAAGTAAGAGTATATTTATTACTATCATTGTTATATTATTATTTTTCAATCAATTTTAAAAAAGGAGAAGTAATTGCAGTAGTCCGAAATTTTATATCAGTACCAGAGGATGGGTTTGGTATGGGGATAATTTTAATGTTTTCCACGCAAAAGGTAGAACGTTACCGGAAAAGGAAGCATTAAAAATGTTAGTAAGAGAGTAACACAAAATATCAGCACAGTTCCTGAGGACAATGGCAGTTACGTCATCAGGACCAAGGCTTTGGGAAGGCTTAAGAGACCGGAGACATTTAAGCACATCAAGGGTATTAAAACCACTACAATTATTGTCAATATGATTTGTATCATTAGGAAGGATATCGACAGAAGAGGGTATGAGAGACTTATTAGGAGTGTCGACATTAAGAGATGGGACAGAAGTATATCGCTTACCGCTAGTAATTTCTTTGAAAAGTTACCACAAATTAGAAGGGACATTACATGACAAAAATCTTATTATTATTATTATGATTATTAATAAGTCCTAAGTCAGATTCTCGATAAGGCTGAAGACAACGTGACATTCAAAGTGGAGACAAATTTTATCGGCTCAGAGACCCAATAGATCGAATTAGGAAGAATAATGTAGTTTACGAAATAACATGCAATAACTGAGAAATGAATTCTATACATGAGACTAGAAGGACGGTGTTAGTTATATATTATCGGAGAATCTCATTTCTTGTACATCTGATCAGCTAACGTCGTCAGCTAACCTGAAATACGGTGTGGACGTTGTCTGTACCTCAGCCTAATTTTGCTTTCGTGTTGAGAACAATTATTGGTCAACTGGCTTCCCGGACTCTTTCACACACTGTTACATCCATCGTGGGATTGTCGCGTCTTCCTGATTTCGGGAAACAATAAGTCTATTTTTCCTGTGTTTCGGATTTCTCCTGAGGAGATTGGGGGCGGGTGTCTTTCATGACGATTGTTTCTTCACTTACGGGTTAAGGACTGGCCGGTAAATTAGGTGAGATTTGAAACAAATAATTAGTATATGCATCAAAGGCCGAATTATTTCGAAACTCGTATCATTGTATAGGCATGATTAGTCAGAATTGTTTACTTACTCATACTGATTGTATATTGTACATTGAAATATTTATTTATTTATTTATTTGTTCTTTACACTACAGCAAAAGCAATCGACAATAGTATTTATGCTTCGAAATCTTTAAATTCAATGAGCTATCAACTAAATTCAGATAAATTATGGCCGAATGATATTTTCAAGTCGAACAATCAATACAAAGAGGTAGAAAGATTTTCAAATAGGTGAGTCAGTCAGATCTTGTAGGCATATTTGCCAATTACATGTTTCACAAGTCCATTAAATAATCCAGAAAATATTACGACTACGTTTTACTGACTCATCATGATATTATTCAGTTGAAATGAAAAGAGGCTCAATGACAACTAGATCTGACAACAATAGTGAAGTGTATTCATTTTTGAGTAGATTTTACTATTATTATCATCGTCATCATTTTTATTATTACAAGTAGTAGTCGTCCTTCGTTGCTTTGTGTAGCCAGTGGAACATAGTGCTGGCTTCAGGCTAGGGCATTGAAGTTTCATTAGGAGTGGTTTTATTTCTACGGGATGGTGGTTGCTCGCCTCACTCCTAACCTTCCCTCTTTACAGGGATTTCTACAAGCTGAGTGAGTTGAAGGAGTGCATCAGCCGTGTACGAAACCCGTGCCGCTTACTAGATTGGTCAGCCTCCTACTTCTGAACCACTGACGTACCACGGTGGCTCAATGGTCTTCTAGCATGACTCTCAACTGGAAATTCGCGAATCCGAACCCCGGCGCCTCCATATTCATCAACAATCCACAAAAAAACCACGAAACAACCATTTCAGGACGGAAATTTAACGAGATGTATGTAGGGAGAGAGAATGCAGAAACTGCAGAATATGATTGATTCCATGTTTGATTAGCTGATTTGATATCACAGAATGTGATACAGTGCTAATGGCTGAATGGTGTCTCGAGAAGAATTTATCGCCTATCATCATATCAGTGAGTTAACAAGACTTCACAACTTGCTCTGTAAAACCTAACTCCTGTTTTCATTTATAATTTTCCGGACACCTATACTTTCAAGACATCCTCTGTAATGAACAACGCTGAGGCTAGTCAGTGAACATTTTTCTCTATAAAACATTTCCTTTCATGTAAAACTGTGTGTGTAGAAAGGCTTCGTTTTCACTGACGATGAATTCAGTATGACTGGAGTGACTGGCTAGTGAAAAGTGCAGAGGCGAACATTAATTGATACTATGAATTGTCTTCACAGTGGATCTATGCCTTGATGAGAGCACGTAAAATAACCTTGGAATGACAGACAGGTATAAATGTCATAGGTGATGACTGAAGTTGGCCCGTTGATTTAAGCCATGGCAAGATATAAATCAGCGTACTGCAGATCACTAAGATGGCTGTTGTTAATTCGCAGTGTGTGCGTGTATGTCAGTTTGTATGTTTGTGTGTGTGTGTGTGTGCGTTGAGTGTGTTGTCCAATAACTGTTTATTTCCACTCTCCAGTGTTTAACCACTTTTTCTAGTGAGCGTCTTGTATACATTCTTGTATGTGTGTAGTATTTATCCATTAAAACAAGACATATAAGCGAACAATATTGTTTTCAATTAGATCTTCTTCAGGCTTTACTCTAATTTACATAGACTTATATATATATAAAGATTTAACGAATGACGGTGATTTAGTGGATCAAATTATAATAGTAATCATTAATCATATAATAATAGTAATCATCGTTGTTAACTTCGTTCAAAACATTTAACACATTATTATTATTATTATCATGATTACTACTATTATTTGATCCACTAAATCACCGTATTTGGTTAAAATTTTATATATATAAGTCTATGCAAATTAGAGTAAAGCCTGAAGAAGATCAAATTGAAAACAATATTGTTCGCTTATATGTCTTGTTCTAGTATTTGTCCATGTTGCATTGATGTGTGCGTGTATGCCTCTTTCTATGTATGTTTGTGTGTGTGTGTGTGTGTGTGTGTGCGTGAATGTCCGCTATGAGATCATAAGGAGAAATTAAGTCAATGTACTTTTTCATTAGCCTGTTTATCTACTCCACATTGCTGTATACACACTGTTTATTTATATTATAAGCAAGTATTGATTATTTTTAACGCTGAGTCATCATCTTCTATCTAACATGTCGATTTGAAAGTGTTAAAACGTTTACTTCCCACATTGTGTTTATGTACACTTTTGTTTCCAACGTCTAATCAAAAAGAAATTGTTTGGTTTATGATTAAAATGTGTGAGTCAGTGTCATAGCGGTTAGGACGCTCGCCGACCATGCACATGCTCCGAGGTTCGATTGGCGACCACCGACTCACTCCCTTACCTCGCTAAGCCAGAAGTAATGCTGGTAAAGAGGAAAGGTTGGGAATGAGGCTAACAACCCCATCCTGTAACACTAAACACTGCTAGAGAGACTTCTATCCACTAGCTTGAAGCCCTATGTTCCAGTGGGGAACGTGAAGGAAAGAAATGATAAAAATGTTGTTTTTTCTATTTTCAATCAGTTACTATGGTTTCTCACTCATTCTTGTTGGAAAACAGTCACCATGATATCAGAGATAAATAAACTAAGTGACACAAAGATGAAGCAATAGTCACAAGGAATCATTGTCAAATACAAAGTCGATTCAAGCATGAAACTATGGATCTGGAATTATTTATGTTCTCTGAGCTTGTTGGTTCAATTGGGGAGCTTTCTTCCTCCTTCTGGACAACATCCGCCCCTTTCAGCGCAAGCTTTAGCATGAAAGCAACTGATTTCAATTCTCTGTGAATGATAGAATTGTGTCTCCTGCTGGTGACTATCTTCATGACTGCCAGTCGACTTATATCTGTTTTGATCATTTCTATTGACTTGGATTTTGAACTTTCTCGTCACATGATTTACCTTTTATTACTTGGTCGATTTGGTCTATGTTAGCATGTTTGTTAATCGCGTATTCGCTTGGGTACCGGGCTTCTAGGAATTCTCTGGCACTTTTGGTATTTCCTCTGTATAGAATTTCGACATTATTCCAATAAAATTAATGTCCATAATTATCTACATGCATTGATATGGAAGAATATGCATATCATGTCTTTTCACAGCTAATTTGTGTTCCTGGATTCTGATTCGAAGCGGACACCCACTTTGGCCGATGTAATGTCTGTTACATTCATACATACAATTTATTTTCTTAATAGTATTAGTTTTATCTTCTTTTTCTGTTGGATCTTTCGGTTTCCACAATATCAAACAAAGTGTTCGTGCTGGCTGTGTTAGTTCTCCTGAAGATGTTGTCCAGCAGGACGACGAAAGCTCCACAATTAAAACAACCGCCTCAGAGAACACAACTAGTTGCGAATCATCCACGTGAGCTACAAATCTTCTCTATTATTTCCAAACGATGATCGTATTCGCAGTGGATTTTCTGCCCAATGGATCATCATAATCATCATAATCTCCAGGGTAATAATCCCACAGCCATCGCTTCCGATTTCCCCATCGCCGTCAATGGAATCATTTAGACATAAATCACACGACACAATCCAATAATCTATCGCTCTTGTTTTTTGATGAAAAAATTGAATTATGTAGTCATTTGAACACTAAGCACTAACCAGCTATTGTAATCAGGAGTCAAGTGAGAGGCGGGATAATTGAGTTTCGGTGTATTCGGCATGCTGTTCAGCTACTGATGTGTTGTAGATTATCAATGAGTTGGATTTTAGACGAGATTATTAGTTGGCATTTGAATGTTCGAGTGACATACCAGATAGCATTGGTGCCCAAAACTCAAAGGAAGTAATCAACTGTATGTGATGCAGTGAGTGCTAACTAATGAGACACAATTCCATTATGGATTAGATTTTATTTTGATAAATCGCACAGTGTTTACAGTAATGTTTACTGATGACGTTTCGAGCACAATTTATTGCTCATAATCATATCAAGGTAATCACACGACTTCCTAAATTCATTTATATAGTTCCATTGTTTTTCTCTTGATTTTCACTTGATTTGATTGGTAATAGTATTTTCCATATTTCAGGTATGAGTGACGAGTCATTCCTATTGCATGTGTTGGGTGTAGACTCGATGAACCAGGAAGGATTCAGTAATCAACCTCTCTCTCCACCTACCTAGATTACTTTTTAGAATTTTAACCCTCTCCCACCCTATTGTGTGGTTGTGTGTTAGCGCATGCATTGCAATTGCTGAGCTTTTTTCTAAATTATTTATCTTCTCGGGGTCAACCATTCTTACCTTAGCTAAATTTTTATGCTCTGACAATCTGACACAATGTGCGTTAACCCTGAAAAATCAAAAGAAGGCAAGATCAAACTTAACAAAATCAGAAAGGGAAGCTTTAATTAGTCTAAAACAGGATAAAAACATTGTCATCGCAAAAGCGGACAAAGGAAACGCCACCGTAGTTCTGAATAAATCTGACTATATCAAGAAAGTCAGCGAACATATTGAAACGGGTCCATATGAGGAAATTAAGAAGCCTGTAGATACAACAATGAATAAGGTAAAGAAATCTACAGCGGAATTATTACGGAGAATGAAGCCGTCACTGGGTGAGTCTAAATGGTTTAATTTAATGCCTAAAACTAATAATACTAGTAGAATATATGGTACTATTAAAATACATAAACCAGGTTACCCCATAAGACCAATAGTAGATTTTAGAAATACCCCCACTTATGAATTATCAAAACACTTAGCTCTAATACTTTGTCCCATTAGAAATCGCTCAAACTCTAGACTAACTAATTCATATGAGATGAAAAGTAAGCTAAATGACATTCAACTAAAAAATGATGAAAAAATGGTTAGTTTTGATATAACTAGTCTTTATACTAATATACCAGTTAATATGGCCTTAGAAGCAGTTAAAAAAGAATTAACTGCGGATCCGGAACTCAGTCATAGGACAAAGCTGTCCATTGAAGAAATTATTTTAGGGATTCAGTTATGCCTCACATCTACTATCTTTAAGTTCCAAGGCAAGATATATAGACAAACAGAAGGTGTAGCAATGGGATCACCAATATCCCCTATCGTAGCAGACATATTTATGGACAGCTGGGAAAATAGTGCCCTCAATACATTTAATCCTACTCCGAAAATATGGTGGAGATATGTGGATGACACTTTCACAGTGTTAAAAACAGAACACATCTCTAGCTTCTTGACACATATAAACTCACAAGTTGAGGGAATAAAATTCACAATTGAATCAGAAAATGAACAAGGAGAATTAGCTATGTTAGATTGTAAGATAAAAAGAATAAAAGAAGGCAAATTACACACTAGTGTTTATAGAAAACCAACGCATTCTAATAGATATTTAGACTTTAATTCGTCTCATCCTTTAACTGTTAAGGCAGGCTTAGTTAAATGTTTAACAAACCGAGCAGTGGCACTAAGCAGCACAAAAAAAGATCTAAATGATGAATTAAAACAGATAGAAGAAGCGTTGGTGTTGAACAACTATCCTATAAAATTCATTAGGAAGATCATTAAAGGCCAAAAACAAAATAAAAATAATTGTGAAACTAGTAATAATAACATAAATAAGAAAGAATATAAGTCATCCACAGTTATACCATATAAAGAGGGGACATCTGAGACACTACGTAGGATTCTGAATAAAATAGGAATTAGGGTGGCATTTAAACCTACAAACTCACTCAGGGACAAGCTCTGTAGGTTAACGGACCCTGTCGGTTGACCCAATTAGACAAAATAATATTATTTACAAAATACCATGCAATGACTGTGAGGTCAACTACATAGGTCAAACTAGTAGGTCAGGGGTAGTCAGATTGTCAGAGCATAAAAATTTAGCTAAGGTAAGAATGGTTGACCCCGAGAAGATAAATAATTTAGAAAAAAGCTCAGCAATCGCAATGCATGCGCTAACACACAACCACACAATAGGGTGGGAGAGGGTTAAAATTCTAAAAAGTAATCTAGGTAGGTGGAGAGAGAGGTTGATTACTGAATCCTTGTTCATCGAGTCTACACCCAACACATGCAATAGGAATGATTCGTCACTCATACCTGAAATATGGAAAATACTATTACCAATCAAATCAAGTGAAAATCAAGAGAAAAACAATGGAACTATATAAATGAATTTAGGAAGTCGTGTGATTACCTTGATATGATTATGAGCAATAAATTGTGCTCGAAACGTCATCAGTAAACATTACTGTAAACACTGTGCGATTTATCAAAATAAAATCTAATCCATAATGGAATTATAGTCTACCACAGTGCCCAAGTTTTATACTTATATTAATGAGACACAAGCATCTCATATGAGAGTTATGACTGACGTTGTGCATAATGTTCTTAAACATTTTGAAGTGCTCAGACAGACGTTGTGACTGTTAGGAAACGGAGCTGGGATGTGTTTCATTGCATTTGTTTTTGTCAATGTACATATAATGATATATGTGCAATTGTTTGTTTCTATGAATGTGAAAAACGTAATTTAGAGGGAGAATGACTTTCGATGATACAGAGGGTTGTACAACAAACAATCATGAAGAGGGGAATAAAGAGAACATGACGTTGATTGCTCCACCGTTATCATCATATTCAACACCAGCAACAACATCGATGAAGCCAATGTATGTCTCCTAGTTGCAGTGTATTTTGAAAACAAGTTATTTTTACTTTCAGTTTGTTAGTTTGTATATTTATGCTTCATAGTAAATTACCAGATATACATATATATTGAGCATTGATGCTCAGTCATTTGACTGTGAGAGTTTAGTGACTTTTATGGGGTTTTGACAGACCGAGTATTACAGATGTTTCTGAAGTAACTGTGTGGTGTGTAGGGATTTGATTTGTGTCAAGGTAGATTACTATACGGGCTGACAGGATTTAGAGAATCACTGAAAATCAGGGAGCACCAGACACTGGTCACGACTTCTCACTGAAACTCCAGGAAGTACATCCTGTGGCCAGTAGTCACTAGAAGATTATTCCACTAGTGATTTGTGACTTTGAGATGGTCTTCATGGAGTTCCACTTAGAAGTCGTGGTTTGTGGAATAGATACTCGTGAGTGGTAACGAAGCTAATTCGTGGTTGGAGAGAAGTTAGAATTCACGGATCATTGGAGTACAGCCGGATGGCTGGATAGCCAATGGGCTGACATCGTAAGCTGTTTTGCTCATGGTTGCACGGAAGCCAGCAGGGAGAAACGAAATCTATCCAATGCTCTCTGTCCATCTCATCCATATATATATATATATATATATATGCATATGAAGTATACTTGATTTCCTCAATAACTGGGGAATTCACCTGTCGTTATCTATAGTCACCAGTGTCTGTTTGTCCGCGAATATGACACAGTGAACCCCGAAACCAATGACACCTCATAAGACCACTGAAAACCCGACCCGGGATAAATTGTTGGATTTGTGAAATTTCGATTTCTAGTTGATGTGGCTGTCACGAGATTGATGAGTGAATATCGAGACGTTTTTTCATTGTACTCCGGTGACTGGATTTTAGTGGGAAATCTTAACATAGGTGATGACTTTTGAGATACACGTAAGTAATTTTGAGGATAGGTACTCTTCAACGACATTAGTTTGAATTGAGTCGTATCTCGAATTTACGGTAGTTGGGATTCACACCTAATGGGATGGAGGTCGGTAACTGGATTCTAATGCAATTCTCTCATGGTCTGAAGGTCTTAGGATGGACTCTGATTGGAGTCACAAAAGGAGGAAGAAACAACTGAGTGTCGGTCCTCAGTTGTCAGGGGAACACTAACTAAAATCAGTCCGAATCCCTAGAAATGCAAAAGTGAAGACTATTTTGTGTCTATTTACCTTGCAATGTATGCATATTCGTGAATTACAAGATATTGATTCATTAATGCAGTATCTTAAATCATTCATTCAGATGACACAAATGAACTCTTATTTTATATGACATTCGTTGTTCATGTTTTGAAGCTACGCTAAGCATGAGAAATTTCTGTCTGATTTCTTTGAAAAATATTCATTCATATTTAGTTATACAAAGATGGATGACAAGCCTTCTACACAAACAAGAAGCATTTTGACAAATCGTAACATTCAAAACAACAGTTACAATATTCCAGGAAGAATGTTAAAATCCTTCAATTATGAATAATAAAAAAACGGTAAGGTGTGCATTCTATTAATAATAATAATAGTAATAGTAATAATAATAATAATGACAATAATTCATTTCATAGCCTAAAAGCAGTTTCCAAAATGTGCTCTCGCTTTAATTTCGGAACTTGAATAAAACATAATCCAATAAGTTTACCTGAGATGCATAATGATGCATAATGGGCAGAGAGAGAGAGAGACAAATAAAATAAGAGAGAGGATGGATGATACACTGTTAACACTTATTGTTAGAAGAAAGACTGAGTTGGAGACTTTCATGCTGTGGGACATATTTATTGCCTTGACGGACAATCCTAGTATCGTTTCTCATGGAAACGTCAATTTAGACTAAATTATATTAGGCATTGTGATGTTTATCATTTCTGAATAATTAATGTACGCATAACTTGTAATTCACAGTTCAAACACTTGATGATACTTAGTTTCTATTTAACTTTATTCCTTTGCGTTAAGAGTAGAAGATGGGAGTATAAGCTTGAATTTTGAAGTGGTTCAGTGGGAGTGGTTTATTGTTTTAACGGGGCGAGATGGTTGCTAGCTTCGAACGGAACCTGCCTTGTTCTTCCGGCTTATTAGCGGGTGAGAGAGAGGTTCAGGAGTGGGCAACTGTGGATCGATCGCTGGACCAGCTATTAGTCATTTAAACATGAGTAAAGAATTCTGATTAAGAGACAATTATTTTCAATGCAACTGAATGATAATGCGACATACAGTCGTTGTGACACGTTGTGATACGTGAGAATAAGGAAAGGATATAATGGAGATATATATGATAACGCGCGCGAACACACACACACACAGACACAAGGAGAAATATTGATATATATTCAAATGTTTTCTTTCACTCACTGTATTTATTAATTCGTCAATGGAGATAATAATGGGATTAAACAAGAAACTGTATTGTTCTGTATTGGTTTGAATTTTACTTTATAGTTCAGAATTTGACAGAAAAGAGGATGAAAAAGCTAAAACGTAGACGTAATTATCGCCTAATTGTATTGCTTTTATACTTACACTACTATCATCGCCGTCGCCGCGATCACCACGACCAACATTACAACTAACAATAAAAATAATTGGAATAAAAAGATGAAAAATCTCTTTTCAATTCAACGTAATGTCCAATAACTGTTTATTTCCACTCTCCAGTGTTTAACTACTTTTTCGAGTGAGCGTCTTGTATGCATTCTTGTATGTGTGTAGTATTTATCCATGTTGCATTGATGTGTGCGTGTATGCCTCTTTCAATATATGTTTGTGTTTATGTACACTTTTGTTTCCAACGTCTATTTAAGAAAAGACAAAAATATATTGTTTGGTTTATGATTAAAATGTGTGCGTGAGTGTCATAGCGGTTAGGACGCTCGCCGACCATGCACATGCTCCGAGGTTCGATTGGCGACCACCGACTCACTCCCTTACCTCGCTAAGCCAGAAGTAATGCTGGTAAAGAGGAAAGGTTGGGAATGAGGCTAGCAACCACATCCTGTAACACTAAACACTGCTAGAGAGACTTCTATCCACTAGCTTGAAGCCCTATGTTCCAGTGGGGAACGTGAAGGAAAGAAATGATAAAAATGTTGTTTTTTCTATTTTCAATCAGTTACTATGGTTTCTCACTCATTCTTGTTGGAAAACAGTCACCATGATATCAGAGATAAATAAACTAAGTGACACAAAGATGAAGCAACAGTCACAAGGAATCGTTGTCAAATACAAAGTCGATTCGAGCAAGTCAATGAATCCAAATATCTTGAAATAAAAGACGAATCTATGAAAGATAGAAAACAGAATAGATTGTTATTTTTCATTAGAATAGAAAAAGAAGTTGGACATTTCGTTCGACTTTACTTATCATAGACAGAAGAAGTAGTATTTTAAATTCAATTGTGGGAACAAAAATGGAACTTGATGATATTAGATGGTCGGAGGCACTTGGCAGGAAGCCTGGCTTCACCTATACGTTTACTTCCCACATTGTGTTCATGTACACTTTTGTTTCCAACGTCTAATCAAAAGGAAATTGCTTGGTTTATGAACAGAATATTGTTTTTTCGATTTTCAATCAGTTACTGTTTGTTCTGCCTCATTTTTGGCTGTTGGAGGCGATTGGGAACAAGCTGTGTACCTAGGACATACGCTTATTGCTAACTACCCACATCTTCTTAAGTCTCGACAGCCACGTCAACGAGATCGATTCACGGTACGTACATTCTCTATTCTTATGCTTACTTTTGCTTTCTTCATCATTATCGGTGGACTGACTGGCTTCCTTGGTGTAGTTTCTAGCTGCACATCCAACCTGACCTCTCATTTGTTTCATGTGAATAACTGAGTAAAATGTCGGCTTCACTTAAATTGTTTTTGTTTTTATTTTCCGAATTCCCTGAATCACCTGCCATCCAACCATCATTATCTTGACGGCGATTAGATGTCACGGATGAAAATGTAGCTATGGGGGAGTATATCCTGTCTTACACTGTGTATTCACTTGTTTCTTTCTTTATTTATTCAGTTGAATTGAGTAGGTGACTGTGTAATTTCTTTTCAAGTCATTTGAGCAGGAATCTGAGTGTACGACAGATGACTTGTGTATTTGTCCATCATGGTCTTTACAATCACACCAGTTTTTCCACCTATTTTGATAATTCGAGATGAAATCGTCAGTTGGTAGAGAGCGTTCCACGTTGGACAATCCGTCTATCTTTCTGTCTATCTGAGAGTCTCTCTATTTATTTATTTATTTATTTCTTAGTCAAATGCCAATAAATAATTCGATAGAGTGAATGTCGCGGATCCGAATCCTGGCGGTTGGTGCGTACCACCACAGAGTGTCAAAGTAGGACGAGACAGCTGTCCAGTACTGCCATCTTCGCCAATGCTTCTGTAACCGACGTCAGTTGATGATGAAATCTTGTAACATGAGATGTGTTGGTTAAAGTATTCGAATTCATGGTGAAAAGTGAATGTGAATTCGATCTCATTGATAATACTTCGTCTTTGAATAACTTAGAAACACGCCTTATGTTACGAGTGAACAAATGACCATGTGAATAGAAGTAGGCTCAACTAAGTTGTTCGCACTATGTGTCGTCATATTTGAATAAGTATATAAATAAATAAATAAATAGATGAGAATGATTTCTAACGAAATCATGTTTACATTGTTCAGTATGTTGACTGGTCGCTAGACGGTAACCGATCTTGTTTCTCGACGATTCCACAGTTTGGCTACTTTACTTGTTGACATTAATTTCACGTAGTGTATAGAAGTTTTCTCCTGGAATTTAACTTGTTGACAATACAGCATATTAAGTTTTTGTTGTCACCATCATCTAGCTAGGAGATATTAGAAATAATTATTTCTCTATTCGATCGAATTAGAAACAAGAAACAGACGTTAAGAAAGCAGAACTTAATGAATTCATTCTGTGTGCATGTCACTTATCAGTGGATTACTTTAAGTACATGTTATTCACTTAATAACGACGTGTTATAACACATAATAATAAGTAAATTAATCAACACGATTTGACATAAAAATGTAAATAGTGTTGTAGTTGAATAGGTGTATAAATACCACCATGAAGTTTGTAATAAGCCCGTAGAGCATATTGGTGGGTGACGTCTGCGCTGTACATCTCCGAGAGGACACCAGTTCGTCTGAGTTAACAGAGACAGACACACACACACGCACACAGACACATTGGTGACGAATGCCAACAAATACAAAACGTGTGAGGATGACTTGATGCCAACTGTCTCCAACATCCACCTGAACTGTTATTATTTAGATTCCAAAATAATACAGACTGCTCTCTGGAATGTAATGTGTCATGTCCTTGATGACATCATCGAAATTTCATTCATTGTCAATTAGTGTTTATTATATGTTCACAAATGTATTTGATTTACACTGGACGTCGTTTGTATAGAAGGGAGAAGAAGAAGAAGAAATTGATGGCATTTCTACTGTACTTTCTTGTACTTTCTATGTTACTTAATATTCAGAAATGTCGGCTGTTTTCTTGCAAAGGAATAAACATTTTCGTATTATTGTTTAGAATTTAATGCCAGTCGGATTAATGTTCGATGTGAATATCACAGGAGGTGAAGAATGGTTGAATAGTTTAAATCTGACCAATTTATGTCGTTTCTATGATGTCAGTTTAACTACTCGTCCTACTAAATCAAGAGAATTTTGGAAGGTATGTGTTATTAATAAGTTTTATATTCTATTTTCCGAGTATATTTATATATGTATATACAGTCAAACATTTGAGACAAAATACACTCAGTAAATTTCATTAGAGTTTTCAAAATGGTCTTAACTTTGACATCGGAAAGCGCTGAACAACAGTGACACTTCAGGATCGAGTGTAGAATTTCAATTGAAATCATGATCATTGGATAATGTTTTCAGCATTTGAAAGGAATTCCGCTGGCTATGAATCTCACAGGCAACACCAGCCAGCTCACACGAGATGCACATATATTTAGTTGGTGACTTCCGAATAGAAGGAAGCACACTTCCTCGATTCAACTGATAGCCACTGTCAACCAACTGTCAACATCATTTTAAGCTTAAGGTAGCGTTCAAGTGTCTGTACTTGAAGCTGACATGTCGACAGAAGCTAATCATCTCGGTCGAATAGAATTAGTCGACAGGAATTTCAAAGTGACAACTTGAACAAATTACCATTCATCTATCGATGTGAAATGAAATCTGATGGCTTATACCAGTTTCCTTTACTTTATAGAATGATGCTCCTTCAGCTTTTGTTTTGTTGAACTGTATATTTAAGGTTAATGAAAAGCTTTTCGAATACGTGTGTTGGAAGGAGTTTTGTCGAAGTTACCTGTGATTGAAACTCTACGAAGAAAAACATACTCAATGAATATAAATACCGAGAAGGATTTATTTATTTATTCACTAATCTGTAATTCGATGGAAGTGAATGAATTCACTCCACTAGAAAGAATAATTATTAGGCGTGAGTGAAGATGTGACATTAGTCAGAGAACCACTGAACCACTGAAATACAAGAAGTACTAGATAGCTATTTTCCATCACTGTAGCTCGAGACTCCTCTTCAGAAGTACTCACAAGTGACCACATCACAGAAATAACTCACTACCTTCGTGAGTAGTCATCCAGCTCTGTTCCACTGGTTAAATCTTAACGTATTCGCCTTGTGTGTTGGCTCCTGACGTGATCTCATTTGAAATCAGTCGAAGCTTCACCAAGCTAAGATTAAAACATTATTTGGTAGTGTTTTTCTTTGAAAATAAATACAAACTAATTTTCAACTAATTTTAATTCATGTTCGAGTTCATCATCATGTGACTAATTTTAATAGATAGTTAAAACTATTGAGACATTCATTTATAAACTGGATACTGTTGAAGGAAACTTCCGTTGGAATCAATGAGTGGGTAAAATATTTCTACTCGAGTCTATTCATTTGTCAAGTGAACCCTGAATACTTGAGAAGCGCTTCTGAAATGCAGTAAGAATTTCATACAAAAATGATTCACCGAAATCACATATAAACAAATATTCCTTCTTCAAATGAAATCCTCCTTCCAATGTCTGACTAGTGGGAAAAGAATATTCCTTTTTTTATAACCTATCCATCACGTCTCAGGGGTTGGTTATATATCCCAATTAGTTAAGGAATACGCGTCGTTGACAACATCAGTGTGTTTGGTTTTTTTTAACTAATATCAAATGACTGAGGTGAGTAGATTAGAGTTAGAACATGTGAAAGTGATAATAGGCATAAATATAGTACTAGGAAATAAAAGCATCTCCCGTGGAAGGGTAGTAATAAATGACGGGTGTGAGGAACTGATTGATTCATGACGGTAGGTTACACCCGAAAAGTGTAACGTGATGTGTTGTTCACGAACCGATGGAGAGTGGAGCGAACCTGGGTAAGATTACTGGCTGTACTTGACTCCCCTTTGTGAATGAAGTCTCGGCTATTATAGGCGAAGAAGAGGTTATAGAAAAGAATCTTTTTTCTCTGCAATCAGTAATTTGAAAATTTTATCGTGCACATTTCGATATCCACTACTACTAATACTACTACTACTTCTGAAGACGTTTAGCTTCAGAGCGTTCTCATTCCACTTCTGATCTATTCAGGCTCACGATTGACCTCCTGTAGGTCTGTATTAGATCATTTGATTGGACACTAGTAACTAGTGTGATTTTAGTCTCCACCTAAGACAGGACTAGACACATCACACATCAGCACTAGTGTCTAAATCAAAATGGAATTAAATATTACTATATGAAATAGTGTTTGATAAAACAAGACAGCAACAACAACAACAACAACAACAGAAAACTACCTGACTTTCAGTAGGACACCCAATTATCATACGATCTTCATCACTGTAATGATCAGTTAATAACTGATACATCGATCTCCACTGTAACAGAACACCTGACTGAATACGACGTAATAAAATACTCTCTGTATCTGGATTGGCCAAATAAATGTGTAATGCTTTTCTAAGATTGGATGGTACAGAATGTTTACCAACATCAGAACGGTTCGAATTTGCACTACGTCCAAGAGCTATACAAAGTAATCGATGTGCATTTGAAACAATGTCTTTTACATACGATGCATACGCAAAAGATTGGTCGGTAAGACGAACACCTGGAGCAGCTAAGACTGAATAAGCCTGAAAACAATTGAAAACATTTATTTCCCGATACGAATTTCAAACAAGCAATAAAAAGGTTAATAAAGCAGGATTTAATGAATTCATCATCAAACAAACTACATTGAATTAGTTATGCATGACTTATCAGTCTTATATCTCCCAATGTAATTTCAAAAGTACATATATATATCCGTGTATGTAGAGTATTCAGCTGATGAGTTCTACCGAAATTTGATGAATCTATCATTAAATCCTGCTTTATTAACCTGAAAACAATTGTTGTTACAGCATAAAATTAAACAGTTTAGTTGTCGTTAATATTCACATTCATAACTAACTGAGTGATAATGAATAGAAATTAAAATCTACTATTACACATAATTCCAGTTATTTTTTCAACATAAATTACATGAAATAAGTGTTGATTAATAACAGCAAATGAACTAATAAATTTACATTGGATTAGTTGAAAATAGTAGCGCATAGATGAAATGATCTCATGTCAACGTTTAAAGTGTCTGACTCAGATGGCATGATGAGGATTTGAACTATAATATTATTTTCTAACTGCAAAACTATGCGAAAATATTTGCTCCCAATGAACATATATGACTTCTATAGTTTTATTTACTTTTTCGAATGAACATAACTTATGAATTCCCCCTGTTACTTGCCTGTTATACATGAATGTAAACAATGAATTTGATTCAGACCCTATGGATAAGAATGACTAGGAGTATTAAGGCAGTTCCGATAAAAACCTTTTAGATAGCATTAATAAAAATTGGAGTTGACTATCATACTTTTGCTTAGACAACTTAGACTAAAAGATTTTCTCTGAGTATAAGAGAATGAATGACTTGACAATATAATAATAATAATAAATAGTAGCAAGCAGATGAACCACCCCCGTCTCTTTGCATACTGTAAGCGTTTAGTATTCACAAGACTTTATTTTGTCTCTCTAGCAATTTTAAAAGAGGCTAAAGGGGCATAATAATCTCTGAAAGATGTGTGATTTGCGTGTGATGCACGTGTGATGTACGTTCGACATATCAATGATAGACACGCCATCATTAACAACAACTTTTAAAAAAACTATACTTGAATACACCTTAAAACAATCTGTCCATAAATATCCACCCACCCACCCACTACTACTAATCACAATCCCGGACACTTTGTATGCGATTTCAAACAATATACTACCTTATTGTTCATATATTACAAGATTGGGTGGGATTCTAATTTGAGATCTGTCATGACGAGGTGTTACTGCGTTGTGAATTCATTAAACCTGAATAGTATGCGCCTCGAGAACACGATACTGTAGTGTTAACTGACCATTTAGAATTATCTCCCACACTGAGATAGACACAAATGTCAGACTGCGGTAATAATGACGATCGGAATGACAACGACAACTTTTATTAGACAAAATACATGTCATATTATTATATTTACCAAACATTCAAGAATTTAAGCCATAAACAAAACATTTCAACATTTCAACTGTGGTTCAAATTATATAGGGCGCACGAGTAGGCAGGTTCGTCTACGGGTTCGAGAACACTTATCAGCTTGGTTCAGCAAGGCGGAAATTAAGTGCATAAGAAGCTCGATCCTGTCACACTTGGTCGATACTGGACATCGTATCGATGTGAACACAGCTTCCAGGGTTATATACCGAATTCCCAAGTCGTTATCACGTACAGTTCGCTTACGTCTCCTACACATAGCTGGAGCTGTTTCAATAAGATCGACTAAACCGGAACTTTGTATCCACAAAGAACACGTCCAGACGCTGTTCCTAACGTGGCCAAACTTGGATTGATGATTTTTCTTCTCACCAAGAGTGCTCCTCCCCCTTAACCCTCTCAGTGTTTTTTACTTTGCTTATTATTACAAATATGATTATTATTATTATTATTATTACAGTTTATTATTATTATTCGTCATAATTTATGCTCAATACTATCGAATTTTTCATTTATACGGACTTAGAATTAGTGATATTATCTGTTTTCTCAATATGAGCCTCCACCTGTTTCATTTAACATATTCATTATCTCATTATGAACCTCTCATTGCAGTCTTACTATCTCCTGTTTAACACAGACCACTTTGTACTAGCCACTCACTCACCTGACACCTTCTATGACCTTGAACTGGATTCGTCAATTTTCCTACCCCACACTCTACAAATCTATTATGACTAATCATCACCACCACTGTCCCCCGTTTTACAATATTTTCTAATCGATTTCAGCCTAGCATGTTTGTCACACTCAAATACGACTATTTATTTTGACACCCACTAGCTGTTAATCTGTTATTCTACGTTAAAAATGTCTCCTCCGCCGCATAACTGGCCTTTATTGTGCGTCGGTGACACAGTGGTTAGGAATCTCGCCGACCATGCACATGGTCCGAGGTTCGATTCCCTCCCGACGCACACTTCATATCTATGGTCGGCCTTCAAAATTTGGGCTACCGATATTCATCCTGAAAATTCCATACTTGCTCCAAAAATACAGTGTAGAATCAAGCTGTTATCAAAAATAAATAATAAAAATAAAATAAATATATTTTATAATTGTAAGAACCTGAAGAGAAATTATTCAAAAGAATATTCTTCGTTCAGATTGACTTTCAATTCAATTCATAAACAAAACAGACTACATTTGTTATATGACATAGAAATCCCCCAGAAAACTCAGCCATCGATTAACGAATCAAAACTATCCAATAACGTAATTATGTCAGTACATGCATAAATCACGACTTGTCGATATTATGTGGTTGGAGGCAGTCGGCAGGAAGCCTGGCTTCACCTAGATTTCGTGCTAGTTGGAACTCATCAACGAGCCAACTAGCATGGTGGTCACATTGCGAAATTGGCTGATAGAATTCAGTTTTCAGTAGACAAAAGACTAGACACATGACACTAGTGTCAGTGTCCTAGGAAATATACACCCCATGCATTAATTACCAATATTATTTATACTTACCCTTTTAAGGAAATTTGACATTTCACCTGTTAATTGTGCTACCTGTTGTTCAATAAGTAATTCACATGTATATTTCAATTGACTATCCAACTGACGCCTAGAATCCACTTCAATATCAATTGCATTTGGAGTTTCCAACAAAAATCTCAATAAGGCATTCTCTCGACTTAGTGAAAACAAACCACTTCCTCTATGTTCCCAAATATGACGTGCAACATCTGTAAATAAGTTAAATAATTGAACAAAATAAGAATTTATATACAAACTGAATTGGATAGTGTGAAGAAATATTTTTAGTAAATATAGATCGTGTGTACTAGTGGTATTTTTTAGAATTAGTTAGCTGGTTAGTTAGTAATTGCAAAAGAAATCATGACCTGGATGTTCAAATATCGCGAGAATTAGCTCCAGTTGTTGAAAGTATATCCACTGCCTAAATCTCAGCGATGTGAAACACAAATATCTTTATCATAGTCACCATGAAATAGGCATTTATTACAGTTAGATACAGTCAACAGACAATAAGCATTTAGCGAAATTCCGGTGTAGTCATGTTAAACAACCCAAGAATGGCATACGAGAACGAAATAAATTCTGAAGGCCTAAGTGACTGAGCGGTTTCCACATAGAAATTTATGCGAATGTGCAGCAGTTTGAGTTGCTTTTGATTATAGCTTGATTCCAAACCGTATATTTGGTACAAGTATGAGATTTTCAGCATACGATATCGCTAACGCAAATTTTCCAGGCCGGCCATTGATATCAGGTGTGCGTTGGCAGCGAATCGAACCCAGGCCATGTGCATGGTCGGCGAGAGTCCTAACCACTGGGCCACCGACACACAATGACAGTCAGTTGACCATATCATTTCTCAGATTTAAAGAAATAGTATTTGCATTCGCTACTGTTCCCACATACTCAATAAGTGACATTGTAGATCAACAATGCACCTGAGGCATTGAGAACGATTTTGAGCCACATCCCCAATTGTCTCCAGCCTTCATTGGTTCCTACCATCTCGATGACCCCAACCAGTCAACTAGGAAGTCTACACCTCCCTATGTGACTGGCTGGCTGGTTGGCTGGCTGCCTTAAATCAACTGTTGTGGATTTCTTCATTGACTGATGAAACCGTGTTTTGGTTTGACCACCACTAGCTCTTTTCCTCAAAGTTCGTAAGAAGTGTCAACCTACACGGATTAACTAACTACATGTATGTGTGTGTGTGTCTTTACCACCCGGCTGATCACTTTCAAAGTTCTGTGTTGAAGCCAGTCAATCAATCAGGCGCCGTCAATATCCAGAAGACAAAAAATGTAAAAATCACAGGATTGTTTCGAAAGCACAAGGCAGTTAAATATTAATAATAAGTGGAACGAAGTGGAAGACATTGCACAAAAGTCCAAGTAATTGGTGTAGAAGTTGTGAAAATATCTGAAGAGGGTAGACTCCATAGAAAGTGAGAAGGCAGTAAGTAGTTGGGACTAGCCAATTCCCTCACTATTCCTTATCCAACCTGAACTACAACTTTGTCAATGATTTTAGGAAAAGATGTTATACTACTCACCAATAATAAGTAGCTTTGAAAAAAGCACGAAAATGAAGAATCGCGTTAAGCATTTATATTCCTATTATTATTATTATTATTATTACTTTGAAAAGACTACCTTGACACACTATGTGCACCAAGCTATATAGCAGACAAAAATAATATAACATCAAAATGCAAAGAAAACAGATACAGACTAAATTGGTCCAGAGAGCATTTAAGCATTGAGAAGATTTCTAGCTCATGTGAATGATTTGCTTGGATTTGTTGTGTTCTCCGAGCTGGTTGGTTGGTTACCAGGAGACCAAACGCTGTCATTCATGGGGAATTTAAATCAGTTGATTTTATGCCAAAACTTGAGCTGAAGATGTTGTCCAGAAGGACGACGAAGGCTCCACCATTAAACCAACCAGCTGAGAGAACAACACTAATTGCAAAGCACATAAGCATACTTGTCAATATCATTCAAAAGATGGAGCATTCATTACTTACGATTACCTTCAGAAAGGGGAAAAGAAGCGAAATTACGTCAAAGTCATCAGTGATTACGATTTTCGACCATATTTGATTACTTCTCGAGCCAGTGATTCGAATTATCTCCAGGACACCACCTTGGATGTACTAACTGATGTTAAGCTAACACAAATATCCTTCATATTAACAACAATTCAATGTGCAATCACCTAAATTATCTGTTGCAGTTTTCGTCTACTTTTATTACAATGCTGATTAATATGTATGTACACTTTTTGCTTTCCATAGCACCGGATATTGTGGCATTTTCCGACCTCTGTGCAGTATTGTTGGCTGATATTCAAGAGCGATTAATCTTTCGTGCTCATATCTATGTTAAATCACAAATCCTCGGCTTTATTCCAAGTCCCGGAGATCTATCATATCCAGAAAAATTAGAAATGATGGATGTAAGTTCCAGTCACATTTATTTTATGGCGATGTATCTGTTCGAATTGTTGATTTTTCCAGGAGAGATTTCATCCAATTGAGTTTCCAGACAATAAAGTAGGAGACTATATACTACTGGTCGATTCAGGTGAGTAGTTGCATGCCATTCACATCAACCAGCAGTGCTTGCTTTCCAAGTTCGACTCTCTGAGCTGAGTCAAACCACGTACACCGCTGATGAGCTGAGCTCCAAACGAGCGAGTCTGGTGTTTCGATCACCTCGATGTGGCTAGCAAGCACGGCTGGCTGATATGAGTCATATGCAACCACTCATCTCAATCACTTGCATGCAAATTTTCCTGCTCTCTTCATCACGATTTATGGTATCAAGCATATCACATTTTGTGATCGGGATAACTTGGTTTCCGAAGGAAACTGCGGTTTAATTGCACCGAACGAACTGTGTAAATTGCAAATCGCCAACCAATTTGCAAATTTTGAATTCGATTCACAATGTGGTAGACTTCAGTGCTCATTATCCTAACAAATACTTTTCGCTGCTTGTCAAACTTTGATGTATTAACTTATTTGCTTCATAACAAGGATATAGTGCTCTGTTGATATTCCCGGTGTTGATGTATACACCGGTGCCGCTTTAAATAACTCAAAGAGAATATTCGTTGCATCTTAACATTTCTCGTGTTACAATCTAATGTAGCCAAATCGTTAGGCTTAATTTATACACCTATCATAATATTTGTCATAGAAGCTGTGTCTAGGATTTAACTGCACACCGATCGATATCTTAGGTCTCATAGCCAATACTCAGGGCGAAGTGTAGGCTTTCCTAAAGTTGAAATGCACGTGACTTGTCCTAAAGTTCTACTTGCACACGATACACAAATTCAATAGTTAGTTACCTGTAGTAAATGCAGAACAAATGTCCTTCAAGGAGAGGCGGTTAGTTACCGAACAGTGCTAACATGTGGAACAAGCTATCTAATGAGTTACATTCACATTCATGTTAGTTGATGTAATTAACAAACACAGCAGTTATATGCTGTGATTTTGTAAATTCCGGTTTAATAATACTTTGAGAAAGCTATTAGCACTGAATAGCGAAACGTCAGTAAAAACAATATCGTTTTGTTTTTCATTCATTGAGAAATAGAAAAAAACCTTTATTATAATGGATTAGAGGTGTTCAATTTGGGTATTTCATTGTTATTTTGAGCCATATACGGAGGTGTGTATTGTGTGTCTGGATTATCCAGGAATCTAAAAGTTGATGATTTAAGGTTTCTTATGCTCTGGCTAAATTAACCACATGCATTCACACTTCATTTTAAAGATTCCATTGACACGCACGTTTGTTCACAGATACTACTATGCGCTTCCGATTCCTTTTGATCTATACCACAGCTTGAATTGAAGCACTTGCGTACAGAGATTTGCGTTGTCTTCCTATATGTATTAGATATTATTTTTCAATTTTATCATTTTAATGTATATACTTACAGGACATAGCAAAGAGTATTGCGAAACCTGTAGATCCAAGCGATTCATCGGATAAAGTAAAAGAGACTACTGAAATATCTGACTCCACTCAGACATCGCCTACATCGTCAGAAACAGTTCCAGAAGCTCAGCCTACATCTTCTGATTTGGTAGTTCAACCAGGACCTAACATGTCTCTTGCTCCAGCGGATTTACATGGTATGTGGTATCCAACAGTTCGACGTACCTTAGTATGTCTCTCAAAGCTCAGTCGCTGTTTGGAAGTAAGCACCTGATAACTTTAACTAATTACTTTTATTTGAAGATATGACGAGAATTAGGGATAGGTGTAAGTTATAAAGATTCAGTCATGCTGTATGGATTGATTCATTTTCGTGCTATTTCTAGCATATATGCTTCTAACTACACTCGACGTGTGATGGAAATGAAGAAGGGGCTGGTAAAAATCTCTCAGTGTTTTGCATGGTAAATTTAACACACCTATAGTACGATGTTATGGATATTTTGTACATACTAGTAATTTTTGACCTGGTAAAGAACACTGTATGACTTTGAAAAATGAAGCTAGTGTACAGACAAGGCTTACACATATGCGTTGCATGTGACTCAGTTTGTCTTTCGTAGAACACCAATATGAAAACGGTTTTTTAAGATAAACAAAAGACAACCTTTCATTCAGGTTCTTATGAAATGATCTTAAAGTCATTGCATAGTTGTCTGACATCTTATTGATGACATCATCACCTTGTAAGTCAGTGTTTTCGGTCACACTGATTATAAAACAAGTCAGGTGTCAACAGTATTATTAGGTAATTTCTCCCATAGCAATGTAAGAAGAATGTTATCTTATAAGTGATGTCTGACAATAACCAGAATGTATCTGTCGCACTCAAACACGAGCTTATGAATGAACTGAAACTTCGACAATGTTTACTCTAATTTATTTATAAAGCCTAGTAACACGCCTTAAACTGTCAGTTCACTCTCTCTCTCTCTCTAGGATAATAAAGAGATCAGTAATGTACCGTTACATTCATGTCGATTTTATGGCTACCTAGTTTGTTGACTTTAATACAGGATTAATCATTTTGCAAAGTGTAGACCGGTTTATTATGTTCTGAGTAGTGGTGGAATAGTGAAAGATGTATGATCGCTGCTTGTTTGCTTTTAACTGTCCTACATATTCTCAGTCATGTGTTGGTTTCACTTTTTTGGTCTTAATTATTGATATACCTTTGTTTTGGTTTATTTTCCTGAGACAGGATTATCACGTCATTGTGTTTAGTTATGTGGTTTCTGTAAATGAGCTTCTATCTCAATATCTGTTGACTTCTCTTTAGTATCTTGGTGGCTTTTTTGTCGCAAATTGGCATCATATAAAAGGCTATTGATAAAAAGTACTCATATTTCTTCGACCTGAAAGTGACATTCGATTCTGTCGACCGGAAGGTACTACGGAAATGTTTTGCCGTGAATAGAGTGTCGAGAAGGTATATTACATTAACCAGGTCAAACTTATTAAACTCACGCAGCCAGCTAAGTGCCTAAGGAAAGTTGTCATCTGAAGTGGTGACAACTAGTGGTGTCTGTCAGGGATGCCCATTATCCCCATTTCTATTTAATTTCATCCTAGATGTATTAATGGACTTAATCGTAACTAACTTCAGCGACTCAGAGATTGACTTGTTACTAGGGTATAATCTCGTTGACTTATAATATGCGAATGACGTAGTCCGGCTAGGTGAAGACGCTGACAAAGTGCAGAGTCTTCTGAACACCATGAAGAAACATCTTGGAATTTTGGGAATACGACTCGCTCCTGTCAAATGTAAGATGATGCTACAGGACAGGACAGGACTGGGCTGGACTGGACTGGACTGGACTGGACTACATTGACTCCTAGCTTAAAGATAGAAAGGGAGTGAAGTGGTAGAAAGTGTTGACCACTTCACTTATTTGTGGAGTTTCATCAGCCATCGCCAGTGGGTTGATCGCTGACTAAATCTCAGGACGAATACAGAGGGCTCGTTTCGCATGTGCCAGTTTACGCCGTCTCTGGGTTAGTGGACGTGATATCCGGCTGGCTGTCGACCGAAGGTCGTGTGTACTGCTCACCAGTTCTCTATGTCCTCCTTTATGGCCAGTTGTGACACCTGGCCATTGAAAGTGGAAGACAGTGAAAGCCTGGCTAGCTGTCCTTGATCATGGGTGTCTGGTTTCTATCTTCCGTGTGAATTGGTATAATAGGGTGAGCAATACCGAGGTTAGGCATCGGTCGAGTGATAGGTAGATGGGAGGGGAAGTCAGTCGACGAGGCTGTGAAGTTACTTCGATTGAGATGGTGAGGACATGTGCTATGTATGCCTAGCCATCCATCGCCTTCCTCAACGGGAAATGTTAGCTGACATAGAATGGATCATGTTGGAAAAGAGCCAGTGGTGGTAATCAAACGAAAACATGGCTTCATCAGTCAATGAAGAAATGCACCACAGTTAGTTTAGGCCAGCCAGCCATCCAGTCAACCACGTAGGGAGGTGTAGACTTCCTAGTTGGCTGGTTGTGGTCATCGGGATGGTGGGACCCAATGAAGACTGGAGACAATTGGTGATATGGCTGAAAATCGTCGTTGTGAATAGCGCGGATGCATCCACTCCTTGTGACTTACTTATCATATCCAACGATAAAAGAATATTGTTTTTCGATATGACTATTCTTTTTGCCTGATGTGTGTGTGTGTGTTTATTATATCTGTTTTGAATCTTCCTTGACTGTCGTTTCTTAGTTTGTGTGGTACAATGCATGAGGTGTGGCGGCTCGAACTTCTGGGTATCGTGGCAAAGTTCTACGCTGAAACCAGTCAGTCAGTTAGCCACTCAGAGTTTGTTTCGTTCTCGTATGCAAGTCTTGGGTTGTGTAACTTGTCTACACCACAAAGCATTGTGCCTAGGATCTCCAGGTTTTAACTGAACACCTTATCATCTGACCACTAGGTCGAAGTAAATTAATCCATGATCATCAACTCCTGTTAAATATATTTCAAAGTTTTTTTTGAATTTATGTGTTTCATTTCTTTGATAGACTGACTCATTCCGTGGTTTAGCCCAAGAATGTGTGTCAATGTGCGTTCAGTCGTTGGTGAAAGCAAGCGATGCAATCAGCCTTCGTCGGACAGAACTTGATGGACAATTATTTCTCATTAAACATCTTCTTATACTACGTGAACAAATGGCCCCATTCAGTATTGAGTTCTTAGTCAAAGAGACTAGTTTGGATTTTTCACCATACAAAAGTCGGTTGTGCATTTATGCTGTCATTATTTTGTGAATATTATATTTATATGTCATGTTTATTGTATTCAGGCGAATTGATTGGTCAGTCTGAACAACAACTACTAATACATTACTCCTAATGATATTTTAGCGTATAGGAAGGATCCTTGTTCGGATAATTGTATTCTGCTTCGTCAGTACGTGGCCCTATTAAGCCACATTCTCATTGGTAATAGTATTGTGGTGAGTGCTATTTATAGACAGATATAAGTAGTATATCAGTGACGAGATCAGGTAATGCAGAAATATGCTTCCGAAACTGGAAAAAGCAATGGAAGAAGAGAACTGTGAAAAGAACGTTACAAACACTATGTAGAACTCAACAAGCTATCGAATGGGCTGATATTTGACCAATTTCCAAAAGATGTGGAAATAAAGCATTTATGTGCCTACAATTCGTTTGTCCTAGTAAACATTCCTTCGAGCCGATCAGTCTTTTCTTCCTTATAATTGGTGTGCCTGCCTCTGCCAGAGACGAAGGTGCAATGGCCCCGGATGTCCGAAGAAGAATAGGTTCGGACATTCCTCAGGGACTTCGAGACCTTCCCGGACCTGGTTGGAGTGCAACAATAGAGGGCGAAGCTGGTCGTCTTGGGGACTCTGCTGAGAGGCTGTGGGAAGGCCGCCTACGATGGCCCCCCAGATATTGCTAATGAGGCGGCGTGTGACAAAGTCGTCGAGAGGCTCGTCTGCAAGTTCGACAGCCCCACAGATAGACAAGGGGTACTGCAGAAGTTCCGGACTCTGAGGCTTGTTCGGGACGGGGATCCGTTGGTTCTTGCAGTGACGCTAACAAATCTTCTGCGATGCGCATTACCCACATTAGACGAAGATTCTCGAGGGCAGTTGCTAGCTTTCCAGTTCATCAAATGCGTCCATACGGCTATCGCTTATCAGCTGTAGCTAGTTAACGCAGCTCAGCGGATGGACGTTGAAGAAATGGCAAAAGTCACAAAGCAACTGATGGCTTCGAATGTTGCTCCAGTGATGATGGAGTGCCAAGAAGATTGAAGAGTTGAAACAGCAGGTGGCGGCTACCCAAATACGAGAAAGAAGCAACAACAGATGATTTGATTGCTGAGGAACCGGTCACTGGAAGACAAATTGCCTGAAACGAAAGCAAAAAACTTCAAACGATACAGTCTTCCTTGTTTTCCTCGTTTGCGTTTGGGGATTGTGGGATTAGTTGAAAGAGGTGCTGAGTACGGACAATTACAGGTTAATGGGAGAGAACTAGTCTGTTTGACTGACACACAGGCAGCAGTTTCTTTCGTAGGTAGAGAACAGTGTGAGGAAGCAAGGGCGTGCACATTAGCGGTTGAGACGGTAGGGGAAAATTCTTTACAGATTCTTGGTGTTTCCGACTGCGTTGTAGAGACCGGAGAAAAGGAAATGCGATATCCGTTCATTGTAACGTCAAATATACGGCGAACTTCCTCAGAGAAGTAGGCGCTGTAGTCGATGTTAAGAATCGGAGGTGATCAGAAACCATGGGCAGTTTGTGATGCATGAGAACAGTGAAGTTGCTGAGGAAGAAGCCACAATGCTTGTTCCGAAAGAAGCACCAAATGTAATCATTTCGTTGAGTGAATATGCGTGCTTATTCCCGGAGATGGAAAACCCTACGGATGTTGTGATGAGGTAAAGCATGACATCCCACTGAAGGACCCGGGGAAGGCAGCTTTCTCAGCACAACGAGTTCCTGTGCACCTAGAAGAAGAAGAAGTTAACTGACAAGTCAAAAAAATGCTAAGTGACGGAATAATAGAAGAAGCCGATAGCCCGTATAGTTCTCCGATCCTTTTGGTAAAGAAGGCTAACGGAAAGTATAGATTTTGTGTCGATTTCAGATAGCTGTATAGCCTCATTGAAGTAAAGCAGTGTGCATTATCAATCGTAACAGAAACCCTTGATCGCCTTCAGAAGGCTAAGTTATTCACCGTTTTCTAACTAAGATGGGGTTACTGGCAGATCCCAATAACAGAAAGTGACCGAAGCGAAACAGTGTTCACGGTTGGACGGAAACAATACCAGTTTAGACGAATACCGTTTGGATTGGTAGGCGCCCCATTCATGTTCAGAAGATTAATGACCTTATTACTGAAGGGTCTGAAGGACGTAGGAGTATATGGAGATGACTTGGTTGTGTGTAGTGAGAGAGGAGGCCATCATCTAGACCAAATCGAAGCCATCTTGAAGAGAATTGATGAATTCTGGCTGCATATTAATAAGAGCAAGTCACAAATAGCCAAAAAGACTGTTGTCCTCCTGGGTTATAGAGTGAGAAATGGGGAAATACGACCATTGCCTGAGAAAATCCTGACCGTCAAAACCAGTGAAGTACCATATTCGAAACGAAGGCTGAGACAGTTTTTGAGAAGAGTGGCATTCTACAGCCGGTTTGTCAAAAATTTCAGCGAGATGGCGAGGCCACTATATAGGTTGTTGAGTAACGCGAAATTCACGTGGACGACTGGGGCGCGGCAAACGTTTAATCGAATTGAAGAGCTGTCAGATGGTCAACAGATGACATTGAAATTGCCAGTACCTGGGAAGCAGTTGACAGTTTCGACAGATACGAGTGATTATGGTTTAGGTGTTGTTTTAAGACAAACGGACGGGGTAGCCGTGTGTTAACACCTGCAGAGCAAAAGCATTCTACGTTGGAAAAGGAAACGAGTGTCTAGCTGTTGTGTGGGCACTAGAAAAATAGAGAATGTACGTGATCGGCCACCGATTCCACATTGAGACTGACCAAAAACCTCTACAGTGGCCGAATACAGCGACGGACCCTCGAGGGAAGTTGTCACGATGAATGCCACGCCTACAAGAGTATGATTTTAGGATTAGACATATTCCAGGAAAAAATGTAATAGTTGACTTCTTGTTGAGTTCAGAAAATGAGGCCGAACTACTAGAGGTCGCATATGCAGTAAACGTTTTGGACCAAGATCTCTTACAACTTGTTCACCTCCCCAAGTCGGATCCTACTTCTAAGACAGTAATCTAGATGATAAGTGAGGCCAAAGAAATCGAGAATCAGCGGAGAATACAGAGTTAAAGACGACACTACTGCATCATAGACATAAACTCAAACTAAACGCTTCCAGCGTCCTAACTTCACAAGGCAATGATGGTAACTGAGTATTAATGCGCATTATTATAACAAAAGTAAAAGAAAACTGCAATAAATGTTTCCAATATTTTAGGTAATTACACTGTTGCTTTCTTTCCTATTTTCCTCTTGTCATGCCTTCTACTGCATCAAAATTTATGCTAATTACCTCCAATGAGTAACGTAAATTGTATTTGAACTGATTAAAAATGTCCATTAAAATTTTCTGAAGAATGGTTACTGAACAAAGAATACGCTTTTCGTTAACTTCATCGTCAGGTTCTACTGCTATATATACACACACAATATAGTGTATGAAGGAATTCGTGTTATTAACAACATTATGCTGTTAAAATAACATCGAATCGATAATAACAATAGATTACAGCTCAATAGCATCAATATGACAATACACTGAATATCAGAAGGGTTAGGAAAGATAACGATCACACAAATTCATGAAGTTATAGTCTCTACTAAAGTCTGGCCAGGGCAGTAATATTGGCTAGATGGGCTTGCTTCTTTTGCACACAAAGCACATACTGTTTCATGCGAACCGCGATAGCCTCTGCTGTTTGGAGCATGCCGCACCTCGATGTTTTTCGTGGTTTCTTTGATACCCGTTGTTTTTCACTACAATTTTACATAGCCATACTGGGAGATGCTGTCGAGGATGAAAATAATAATAATAATAATATTGTCATGCATATTTTAAAACTACTTATTATTGGTGAGTAGTATAACATCTTTTCCTAAAATCATTGACAAAGTTGTAGTTCAGGTTGAATAAGGAACAGTGAGGGAAATTGGCTAGTCCCAACTACTTACTGCCTTCTCATTTTCCATGGAGTCTACCTTCTTCAAATATTTTCACAACTTCTACACCAATTACTTGGACTTTTGTGCAATGTCTTCCACTTCGTTCCACTTATTATTAATATTTAACTGCCTTGTGCTTTCGAAACAATCCTGTGATTTTTACATTTTTTGTCTTCTGGATATTGACGGCGCCTGACTGATTGACTGGCTTCAACACAGAACTTTGAAAGTGATCAGCCGGGTGGTAAGGACACACACACACACCTACATGTAGTTAGTTAATCCATGTAGGTTGACACTTCTTACGAACTTTGAGGAAAAGAGCTAGTGGTGGTCAAACCAAAACACGGTTTCATCAGTCAATGAAGAAATCCACAACAGTTGATTTAAGGCAGCCAGCCAGCCAGCCAGCCAGTCACATAGGGAGGTGTAGACTTCCTAGTTGACTGGTTGGGGTCATCGAGATGGTAGGAACCAATGAAGGCTGGAGACAATTGGGGATGTGGCTCAAAATCGTTCTCAATGCCTCAGGTGCATTGTTGATCTACAATGTCACTTATTGAGTATGTGGGAACAGTAGCGAATGCAAATACTATTTCTTTCAATCTGAGAAATGATATGATCAACTGACTGTCATTGTGTGTCGGTGGCCCAGCGGTTAGGACTCTCGCCGACTATGTACATGGTCCTGGGTTCGATTCGCTGCCAACGCACACCTGATATCAATGGCCGGCGTGTAAAATTTGGGTTAGCGATATCGTATGCTGAAAATCTCATACTTGTACCAAAAATACGGTGTGGAATCAAGCTATAATCAAAAGCAACTCAAACTGCTGCACATTCGCGCAAATTTCTATGTGGAAACCGCTCAGTCACTTAGGCCTTCAGAATTTATTTCGTTCTCGTATGCCATTCTTGGGTTGTTTAACATGACTACACCGGAATTTCGCTAAATGCTTATTGTCTGTTGACTGTATCTAACTGTAATAAATGCCTATTTCATGATGACTATGATAAAGATATTTGTGTTTCACATCGCTGAGATTTAGGCAGTGGATATACTTTCAACAACTGGAGCTAATTCTCGCGATATTTGAACAACCAGGTCATGATATCTTCTGCAATTACTAACTAACTAGCTAACTAATTCTAAAAAATACCACTAATACACACGAACTGTATTTACTAAAAATATTTCTTCACACTATCCAATTCAGTTTGTATATAAATTCTTATTTTGTTCAATTATTTAACTTATTTACAGATGTTGCACGTCATATTTGGGAACATAGAGGAAGTGGTTTGTTTTCACTAAGTCGAGAGAATGCCTTATTGAGATTTTTGTTGGAAACTCCAAATGCAATTGATATTGAAGTGGATTCTAGGCGTCAGTTGGATAGTCAATTGAAATATACATGTGAATTACTTATTGAACAACAGGTAGCACAATTAACAGGTGAAATGTCAAATTTCCTTAAAAGGGTAAGTATAAATAATATTGGTAATTAATGCATGGGGTGTATATTTCCTAGGACACTGACACTAGTGTCATGTGTCTAGTCTTTTGTCTACTGAAAACTGAATTCTATCAGCCAATTTCGCAATGTGACCACCATGCTAGTTGGCTCGTTGATGAGTTCCAACTAGCACGAAATCTAGGTGAAGCCAGGCTTCCTGCCGACTGCCTCCAACCACATAATATCGACAAGTCGTGATTTATGCTTGTACTGACATAATTACGTTATTGGATAGTTTTGATTCGTTAATCGATGGCTGAGTTTTCTGGGGGATTTCTATGTCATATAACAAATGTAGTCTGTTTTGTTTATGAATTGAATTGAAAGTCAATCTGAACGAAGAATATTCTTTTGAATAATTTCTCTTCAGGTTCATACGAACTATTATCAAGATTTGACCGGATAGTTGCAAAATAATTGAGCGCTGATTGAGAAGTAGACATTTTTAAAGTTATATTTGTAAAATCTCAGCGAAATTGAAATGATTAATTCCAACGTTTCGTTCGGCAATCTGGTCCGAACTTCTTCAGGGAAATTAATTTATTATTTATTATACATATTGATACCTGTTGCATGACTCATGATTGGACAAAATTTTAAAAAACAAGAGGTGTCCCTTTATATATAAACCTTTGTAATGTTAATTTCGATTAATTTCCCTGAAGAAGTTCGGACCAGATTGCCGAACGAAACGTTGGAATTAGTCGTTTCAATTTCGCTGAGATTTTACAAATATAACTTTAAAAATGTTCTCTTCAGGTTCTTACAAATATAAAATACAATATTTGTGGTCGTTACAATAAAG